TAATCCAGCAAATATGGCAAACACGGCAAGGTAAATACGAAGTTGCAAACCACATCAACATGATGCAGAGATATGGGGTTAAGTAAATCTCCTTACACTGCTGGACCGACCGACCGAATGCACGTCTGTCCGAAAGAGAGTTAGGCTGGTCGGCGGGCCGGCGAGGCAGCATGTTTGCATGTTTGTCGTGGTGTGCCGCAAAATAGCGCGCCCGAGAAGTGCTCCTCTACTTTTGCTCCACCTTTGCCTCCTGCGCCCGTACTGCAGCTTTGATGTTTATCCTGGCCATTAGCAACGCAGATATGGAATTCCCGGGATTTTCTGAAAATCAGGACTTTTGACTTGTGAATACAAGTTGCACTTAAACATTCAAATTTATTTTTGAAGGAATGTATTTCAACAAAGAAAAAAAATTCAATAATTTTGTAAATTTTTAAGTACATTTGTACAGATAAAAATAATAAGATCAAATATTTACATACAATCAGTTACCAATATCTAATATTGGCTCCACCTTGTGAATTCTTTAAAAAAAATCCAAAGATAATCCAAATACCAATTTGTAGGTTCCGACAAGGAAAAAAATCTCATTGGTCTATAAAAGTAATAACAATTTTTTAAACTTTCTCTTTATGTGTTTATGAAATTGCAATCCAGCAATATTGTCTGCAGTTCTGGCGCCCATTCGATTAATATCGCATACAAATTCATAATATTGTGCCAAACTTTAGAAATTTATGTCTGCGTCCACTGCAATATACTCTGCACGTTGCAGACACTAATCATGATAAAAGTTGCTTTCCACTCTTGTCCTCTTCATGCATGCATCTGCACGATAAAGAAATGGCTCAAATAAGTTTGCCAGGCCAGGGGACCGGAGAATTAAATTAGATTTCCATGTACATAGATAAAGTGGACACATGTGTTGGAAGCTCCTTTTCACTTCTCTCCGCACTCTGTCGCTCTTAACACGCAGCTCTGCTCGCACTTCGTCGCCGCTCCCCTTCTGCATGTGTGTAATGTGAAACATAAAAAGATAAGAGAGGAGGTCGAGGAGCAGAGCAGAGATGGGCAGCTCGCGGCCGACCATAGATACATACTAAGTGAACGCAGCACAGAGATCTGAGATTTACATTAAAATGTGTTTGCATTACAAAAGTTCTGAAAGACCGATTTTTTTTCTAGTGTAGCAAAAAGAGATAAAAAAAAGTCCCGATCTCTACAATTTTAGTTAATACATAGCATATGCCTTGACCTTTAACATACAATTTGCTTTTAATAGACAAATTGTAGAGCTCGCTAAGACAAGCTCAACCATACCCGGAAAATTTTTCCATGACTACTAGAAGCCGAGATAATTCAGTTAGTTTTTGTATTTTTTCCAAAATGTCAAAAATTTTGAAAATTTTTCTATAAAAATTTAGGGAACCTGCCTTCAAACTGAGAAGAATAAGTGGTGTAAATCCCTTATCCCATATTGATATCGTCAACTTTGAGTGAGGTATGTGAACACAGAAAGAATTGGACTATTTACACAAATTCAGTAAAAATGATAATAATTTCAAAATTATTTTGTTATAAAAATAATCATGTTAAAGTTAATGTACAGTAAGAGTGAAAACACCCCTATAGCAAAAAATATCACTTGTCTCACTTTTACTCTGGTGAGAGTTTTCAATTTCCATTTCTCAAAATTTCCATTTCATCTTTTCTCCAGTTGGGAGCGTCACTAATTTTGTATGATGTTTACCATCCCTATTTGAATTTGTATTTTCTATTTGTGTGTGTTTTGGAGCGATTCGTCTCACTTTCTTGTTTACGGTTACTGAAAGCAAGAATGGACAGCTTTCGGGACGAAAGAAAAGACAAAGCATGAGAAATGGTTCATTCTTTTCGCCGCAGCACAGTTACACCTCACACAAAGTACAGTAAAAGCCACCCCGCGGGGCCTGAAAACACCCACAGTGGCCCAAAAGTAAAAAAATAAAAAGTAAGAGAAAAGGCGAGCAATTTAAATAAAGCTGCAGTGACCAGTCTGGTGGCGCGCGGTGGCAAAAGGTGCTGGCCAATAAATCAGAGCGCGACACAAAAGGCAGCTGTCTCACGCCTTTTTAAGGTCCATTGGCAGGCCGGCCAAAGCCAAAACCTTCCCTGCAATGTATTTTCTATGGGCCGAGGAGGGTGAGCAAAAAAACCAACATGCACGAACTTATTTACAAAATCCATCCGGGCTGCTTTTTTGTTCTGGTTTTCCGCTGCTTTGGTTAGACGATAATTATTTACAGGTCGCCTCAATATAAAAATTTAGCCTTGGAGAAGAGAATGGGCGAGCAAACGCGTAGGGTGGTTTTTTTCCTGCAGTACCGTTAGAACCGTTTTCATCCGACAAAGGTGTTTTCTGGAAATATACGGGAGTTGGTGCCGCTACGAGACGCAATTTATTTATTTATATCCAAGACCCATTTTTTTAACAGAGTTTAAACTTTGTTCCCAGGTGAGACCTTGTTTATTTATCCCGGCTGTGTTGAACATGGAAAACATCTGCGACACGATTGTCGTTGTTTTATTTAAAAATAAAAATTGTTTTGACGCCAGCAAAAATTAATTGCAGTGTCATTTTGGATGCGCGAGTGGAGCGGATGCGTGTTTATTGCACCTTGGGGTTTAATATTTTTATCATCAAGCGACGCGAATTTTAATAAATTTTTAATTCCCCGCACAAGCCGTGAGATAACAAATGGAACGGACGCGCGCGTGCAATTATAATTAATGTGGGGGTGCTTGAATTTTTGTTCTCTCGCCTTTTGAAAATTGTATGACAAATAAGGGGATGCGCATTTGTCACACATCATGCAAAAAAAAACTATATTTTTCGACCATTCATTAAAATTTGTGGGTTTTCACGGTATTGCCGGATGCGATATGTGGACTTAAATTAGTTATAAGGGTTTTTATTTTGAGAGGCAGTTTTGTTTGATATGGATGTTAAAAAAATAGACATTCATTACAAACTTAATAAATTTTTTTTAGAAGTCCTTAACTTTAAAGTTGGATTGGTAAAGAGGAAAATTCTATCACTTTATTTTTATTTTGTTAAATGCTATAGACATGCAAAATACTGAATTGTAAAATAACAAAGCAATAATTTTTATTTTAAAACACTATTTTTTTATCTCTGATATCTTAAACATTTATTTTAATTTTTATATTTTTTTAGATATATTTATTTATAAATTATTTAAATTATACAATGCAGCAAAATCACTATCCTTCTGATGAATAAGTCAAACATGATAAAGTAAAAAAAAGATGAAAGATAAATTTTTTTAGCTATAAATATTAATATTTGTGATTTGTGCGGAATTTAAATTTATTTAATTTTAACTAATTTTCCTGACAGTGTATCATCTTTCAGATAGTAAAAGTTTAAATTAAAAAGTTTGAATGTGATGATATTTTACAGTCCATTTTAAAGTAAATAATATTTTAAATCAAACCAGTCTGATAAAGCTGAAATTTCTAAGTAAAATGAAATTTTAAACGTTTCCGAAAACAGGATTTTTTCCATTCGCTTCTAATGGGCCAGGGGTGCTATCTAAAAATACACTTAAATCTTGGGGTTGAAACTCCCTCGCCTCAAATATGTCCTGGCAAGCACGTGGCAGACGCGAGCTGCCGCAAAAAGTGCCACAATTCACTTGGCAATCTTCTCGGTCAGCAGCATCTGTCTGTAGCGCAGCGCCAGAATAATCGCCGAGAGCTGCAAGAGTTTCCGGTTGCTGTTTCTGTTTTCTCAGGGGATTTGTTGAGTGTCATGTCGGAGATTAGAGCGCGCAGGCCACCCCAATTGCGTATGTTTACGCTGCCATTCGATACTTCTTCTTCCGAAAATAATGCTCAGCGCGCACTCTCTTTGTTTATACATAGGAATCGGCATCGGCTTGGGTTGCTCCCAGGAAGTATCGTCTCGAAATTACCAGCAATAAGTCACTTTCCCCACTGGACCCGTGCGATGTTTGCAGCGCGTCACCAAAAACGAGTGATCTGCTTTTCCAATTATTGACACGAGAGCTGCGAGCGTGCTTTTTAAAATAATCCTGAAAGCAAAACCAAAATGGGCATCTGGTTTTTCTGCTCTAAATTTATTGTCTTATTTCCGCAGTAAATTGGAATGAGTTACCATCAAATCTATGTTTGAACGAAAATGTTAATTTTTTTAAATCAGTACTGAAAAAGCAATATTTTGAGCAATATTAATGTTTTCTCTCTCTCTCTTGTTTTAAAATTTTTGTTTTGCATTTATTTGGATGAGTTCATGTATGGGGCATAGTTGCCCTAATTTCGAACCCAATAAACACTTCTTGAAACTAAAATTTAAAAAAATTAATACCCTCACATTAAAATTAAGTATAAAATAGAGTTAACAAATTTATTGATTCTACAAACAGAAAAATGTTTTTTTTTTTAATTCAAAATAATTCAATTTTATATTTTTTGATGCTTGCAAAATTGTAGCAAAGGTGTCAGTGGGCAAAAAGCACCCAACACTCCGCTCTTTTCATTTTGCACATGCTACCGACATCTAACCCAAAGGGTTAGAACCCGGTAGTTTGCAGTGCGCGAGGCGAGAGGGTTCGCGTGAGCAGCATGCGCGAGTCGGGAGGGCTTTTGATACGAGAGGGAGGAAATTAATTGAAACCAAGCTCGGCAGCCGTTTCACCGCTTTGGCCAGTGCTGCTCCCCGTGAGCTGTGGACGAGCAAAAAGCCAAAGAGCATCATCAGGTGGCGAATTTTTATCACGCAAGCAAGTCACGCCGATCGAGCTGCTGTGCTTGTGGCCTCTGGATTTTTTCTGCCCCTCCACCCGCGAGCAGGAAAGGTGCCATAAAACGCCTTCTGTTGAAAGTTTTTTAATGTCGATGAAAAAATTACACAATTACCTGGTGTGGAGGAGAGGGAGTGGAAAATAATTGTTTAAAAAATTATGAATATTTAATCAAATGCTTATAAAATGTTTGTAAAATTTTAATCGCTTATAAATTTGAAATTAAATATTTGTTAATGTTAACATATTTACATATTATATATACTATACAGTATCACAATTTATATTCAAAATAAAAAATTGTACGGCTGTTCCATAAAATTAGGGATTTAGAATCATTTGTTCAATCTAAAATATTATCACAGTTTGCAGCTTTAAGATATTTAAAGATTCGTTTATAGCAAAAATCTATTCTTTTCGTTGAGAGAATTATTTCCTTGAATGGAATTGCTTCAGTAATCTCTTTTTGACGAAATTGTAGAAATCGTACTCCATTTTCAAAGAGCTCTCCAGTTTCCTTCTGGTCGATTCTTTCATCTTTCTGGGGTTGTTTTTATTTTTGTTGTAGTGTGGCTCTGCAAACAAATATACAATCGAATAAAATTGAAACCTTATATATAGCTTGCCAATTGAATCGAGAGCATAGACACAAATAAAGATCAGATTAAATCTCTACGTACTCAGCAGTTCATTGAAATATAATTCCTGGACGCCACGGAAGTAGCGGGGGAGGCTCGTTTCCAACACTGCCAGCGTCTCGTTTAGATTTTCCAGAACGCCGACAACTTTGAAATATTTTTCCACGTTGGCCTTGGCTCTTTCCAACGCTTGCCAGTTATTGATTTCGCTGTGAAAATAAAATAAATGAAGTTATTCATAAAAAATTTATGAATTTTTGTATAAGGAAAAACTTTCAAATTTCTTCATTATGATATATCATTATGTAAGGCCGAAAAAGGAATCTTACGAGCAGAAAGACTCGTGGCCGCAAAAGTATGGTATGGTGAGGTCGTAAAGGTGACCGGCGACAAAGTTGCAATCTGGCGCCCCACTGCCGACGCAATCTTCGAACTGCTGAGCCTCTTTCCGCTTCTTCAGGTCGGCGTAATAAAAACGAGACATCATTTTGTCAACCGGGTCGCGGATCAAATTTATGTAGATTGGATTTTGACGGCCGAAAGCGGTGAAATTCGTGAAATACATGTGCCTGTCGAAGGATGTGGGCAAGGCAGAATCTCTGCGGATGTCGTTTACAGTTTCAACGACTTCCTCCTAAAAATTATTTGGTCCTTTTAATCAAATGATACTTTGTATTATTCTGTTGAATGAATTTCATTCGATTTAAATTTTGGACGAATTCCAGTGTCAAAGGTGAACATGTCTTAAAACAAAATTTGTCCAGTAAAATTGCTTTTAGAATAATTTTTAAGGGTAACCGCACATAGCCATTTTAAATCCTATAAATGAGTTAATTTTAGAACTAGTTTCTAATATTTAAAAAAAATGAATCTGATTTTTTTATTAATTATTGAATAAATAGTAGTAAAACAAATTTATACAAATAATAATAATAACAATAACTGTGTTCTTTCACAATATTTTTATATTTTATATAAGAAAACTGTTTTCTACTTTTCTAATTATAAAACATATTGGGTTGACATTTGTAATTAAGACAATAATAAATATTAGTACAAGCGCATTAAAAAAATCATATAAAAAATTGTATTATTAATACTATAAAAAAAATTTTGCTAATATATATAAATTACCTGTCTCAGGCTTGACAGCCTTCGGTCATTTCCTGCTCTTCCTCCTGGCAGTCTGTAGTGCCTGAATCCATTCTTGCCCTGCAGCCAGGTCATGAGCAGCACAAACATCTCACTGCCCGACTTGGGCACCCTGTTGAAGAACAAAAAGTCCTGGCTGATTTCGGGAGTGGCGCCCAACTCGCGCAGGGACTTGGTGGCCACATTCCTCCTGCTCGAGACGGTACCTTCGGTCAGGTCGAGTTCAAGCAAACTTCGCTTCACCTGCACTCTGGTCCGACCTTCACTCAACACGTTCAGGTAGACGACGGTGAGACACATGATGGCCCCGGTCGCAACGAAGAGGCAGCTCTTCACTTTTCGGACGGTCTTCCGGTCCATGGTGCTTATTGTTTACTCGGCCGCACCGCAATGGGGTCACCCTGAAGCTCAGGTCTCGACCGTGCATCTTCCGCACTAGGTCACCAAGGTGGGAGGTGCGCGCCGATGAAAGAGAGGAGAGGATTTTTATCGAAAGTGAGAGGTAAAAGCTGCGTGGAGATGCTCCTTTGGCATTTGGGACGAGTCTTATTGCGTGGAAAGTAAAAGTAGTGTGTTTGTTTTCTCTCCTCGGATCTGGCAGCTTTGTGTGTTGGTTGATGGTCGGCGCGCGGTAATTTGTTGCGTTACGCTCGGCGGCATTCGCGCGTATTATGTAAATTGGACGATGCCGTAATTGGTGCTTTAAACTATAGCGCTCTCCTATATGTACCTGCGCTTTCGAAAATAAATACGCGCTCGGGATGATGACAGAGAACAATGTGATTTCGGAGCAATCTGCCGTGTTTATGTGTACGGCGTGATATTAAAATTTCACAACCTGCTATACTCGTTGCCCGACATCGTGTTTTAAATTACAATGTACGATGTACGGCATTGTTTGTAAGCAGAATGAGGTCTTTATTGTTTGCCAAACAAAATCTGGCATAATGATTCCAATTTTTCATTTCGGAGACAATTTTTATGATGATCTTCAGCATTTTATATTCATATAACATTGGAAAAGTTTTTTAAGTAACATTGTTTTGAAGCAATAATACATTGTCATGCTTTATAAAAAAGGGAAGAACATAAAAGCGACTTGGCAATCAATTAGGGACTAACTGAATTATTTTTGTTTATTCTTCTCATGCCATGAGAACAACAAATTAAAAATTAGATGGAAAAATGAGAAAACTGTAGCCAAAAAAACTTTTTTAATAAAATTATTTAGTTACATTACAATTATTTAATAATTTTAGATTCGTAACACATAAGTTCCATTAAAATAACATTATTTTTAAGTTTTTATCATTTAAACATTAATTATAAACATAAATTATTTTTATTTTTCTTAAAATACTTAATTAAGTGTTTAAAATCATTTTTTAAATATATGATTTTAATTTTCATTATTTTTTTTTATTTTACTAATTTTTATAAATAAATTTAAACTTATAAATTGCACTCAATTAGTCCTAGTTTATTCCGTTATAATTATAAAATATTAATTTGTAAAATTTGGATAACATGGAACACAAAGAAGAATGAAGCTCAGATAATTTTAAAAAAAGCTTGAGCTCTACACGAGCTGTTGTGTTATAAATCACTTGTCAGAAGCTTGTCATGTGACAATTTTTCGCAGGGAAGCGTGCGCTCTCTCACTTGTGCATATTCTATACGCGAGGCAATAAGTTTTGAGGAAGACAAATCACAAGAAAAGCTGCCGCGCTCCTTCCCGCTCCCCACAAAAGCGGAGGGCGCGTCGTGCCGAGCAGGGATAATTTATAAATACCGGCTGAAGGGCTAATTGGCACTCATCAAGGCGAAATGAGTCCCGCTAAATATTAATTTCAGAGGAGGCGTGTGGCAACAATAGCTTGGTGTAGTTTGGAAGTGACGGCGGTGGTAATAAAGTGAGCGGCGTCATCTGGCACGAATAAGGGCGCAAGAGAAAGAGAGAGGAACGAACAGATTGCTCTGCTCTCTTCTCGTGAGATGATCAGGCAAGAAGGTGCGTGTGCCACAATTATTTATTTTTCCCTCGGCTAATGCGCCTGTGGTTTATGATTTATTGCGAGACTCGACTGCCGTCGACCAGATGAGAAACAATTAAGACCTCTCGCTTTGTTTGCTGTTGTCTATTAATTCGTTCCCATTCTCATTACTTATTGCTCACAGGTGGATTCTCTCAGGTAGCAGATACATTAATATTTAATTTTCTTGAATTCTGGCACGGACTTATATTTATACAACTCGCTCATCTGCTGGTCTATCCACGTTGGGCAATAATTCTATGCTAATTTCCTGCCGGCGTCATAAAAATAAAATATTGCAGTGGGTTGATTGCGGGCGAGCTGTTGGATGGTTTTGTATTTTTATGGCCATCGTGCGCAGCATAACAGCAGTTTGAGTGTTGCTATAGAAATATAGTTTAAACTGCTCTTTTAATTTGTGAAATCATGTTGTTTATTTCTTCTTTTTTGTGCAAATTTTAGCAGTGATTTCAAACTTCTGATATATTACATATCTTCATTGTTAAAAATTTAACAAAAAATTATTTAAAAATGATTGTAAAAAATGAACTGTTTTTTGTTCTAATAATACTTATGAGGGTGATTTAGAATTTAATAAACAAAGCGATAAAAAGTAAATTTTTAAATTGAAATTATCAATATAGCATAATTTTATTGATGATATCCAATGTTTTTCAGTTTTTAGAAAAAAATGCATGTACCTCAAAATATTTCTCAATTTATTTTCTTTCCTCATTTTAGCATTTTCGTTATTATAAGATGAAGTAAGTTTCGTCATTACAAAATAGTAAAATTTTTTCCATTTCAGAGCTTGTGAAAATTTGAAATAGCATACTAAAAATACCCATAGATTTCACTTGTCCAAATTGTATTGAAAGGAAAAAGGAAAAATTCTAAGCTATACAAGGCAAGGAGGGCAATGCTCCCCACATCCCCAACCGAAAACACTCATCCTGCTCTATGGAGATGGCAAAAAACTACTGCGTATCGATGCCAATCAGACAATTAGGGATAAAAAAAACAACAATAAACAGCCGGAGAGACCATAAAGATGCTCTACAGAAATTTTCATCCAAAGAAGAAGCATATCAGGCATAATTCAATGAAGGGACAAAAAGTGTTTCTTGGCTGAAAATTGCCTGTTCTAATCTCCTAATAGGAAAGGAAGATATGTAATCCGAGCTTTGTTGAATTGCTCTCTGCGCGTTTATAACACAATATCAGAATGAACACATCTCCAGCACTGCGCCGGCTTTTTCCCTCTGACTCTCTGCGGCATGAAAATATGACCGAATGCATGAATTCGTCCGCTGTGCCGAGCTTTTTGTGCACCCCTCTTAGCGTAATCACAAAAGACGCGCGGCGCTTTATTTTGCACCCAAGAGCGCAGGAAATCCTCGGAAACAAAAAATCGCGTCCTTTGCCGCTGCGTGTGTATATGCGTGCTCATTTTTATTTATGCCGTTGTTGCTATCTGCGTGCAAATCATCATTGAGAATGGCTTTTGAAAAATGATCCCGCGCGCCCCGACCATTGCTGTTTGCCAACGCGTGAAATGCCAACGCAAACAAACTCATGCTGCTGCGATACGACCATTCAAATAAATGAACGTGTCATCGCTCGATGCACAAATTATTTTTGTGCCGCCAACAGAAACCCTTTTGCCAACAGCCTCCTTCTCAAAATCGGCTCTGATGCTTTGAACTTTGTCAAATGGTATGATAACCTAATTTCACGTTTTAAAATTTATTATTTTGCATTATTAATTCTATACTCAACATGAAATTGCCTCAAATGGAATTGCCTTTGGATTTTAAATTTTGTGCTATATTTTATGATATAAACAGAACAGATTTATCAAAAAATTGACTAACATTATTACTTTTTGATGTAACTGTAACTCTTCAGACAGTAAAATATTAAGTTTTGAAGTTATAGATACAAATTAAGGACTTTGAATTATATATCATCTAATTAATTAAGTAAAAGGTTGAAAATAAATTTCTTCAATTAATTTGTATTAAATTAAATCATTGATAGTTTCAATTAGTTTTGAAGAAGAAACACAACTCACTGCTTTTTCGTTCAACAAATTGCTTTTATTTCAACGTAAAAATTTTTCAATAATTTGCGGGCAAATAAACAACAGTAACAATCGTAATATCTATTTTTATAGTTATGAATTATTTATTATATAAATACTGAACAGGCAATTTAATTTATTTTATTAAAATTTGTTTATTACAAAAGTATATAATTTATTTTATTTCGTTTAATTTATTTTGGAATTTTCAATATTTTGAATTTTGACCCCTCGTTTGTTCTTGAAAAAATGTTTATAATTGTAAGATATCTTTTTTTTAAATACTTAAACTATAACTTAAACGATTGGTAATTGTTTGTGTGCACATCTTAAAAAAGGTTTTCATGGGAATGGACAGTTTATATTGTTCCTATTTTATTGTTCCAAAACAGAGCGCAATATTTTTTGGGAAATCAGTTATTATCAAGCTCTATTAAGCTTCGTCACAACGTGAGGTTCTCTGGAAGCACGTTTGGCGCGTTCTTAATTGGGTGTGCCTGAATACATCTCGTACGTGCAAATTTTCCGCCAGCTAAAAAGCAGCCGGGGAAGAAGGGCAGAAATGCTAGGCAGCCCGCAGAGCGCGCACCCGCAGTTACCAATACCCGCTCCGCTGCATACGCTATGTGGAGAGAGGGCGGCGGAAAAATAAAAAGAAAATGCTCTCTATCTTCACGGACAATTGAACCGACTGATAGAATCTTATTCTCTCGGGCGCGAATGATATGTCAGTATATATCCCGAGTCTGGTGAACCAAAACGAGCCAAAGTATACATTCGCTATATTATCTCAGGGCGCTTCCTCCGCTCTCATCTTCTCTCTCTCTCTCTCGGCTCTGTATAAACGGAATATAGTATTTTGTGCCGCCATATAAGTGAAAAAAGAAAAGAGAGCGAAGAGATTTGATGGTACGCCGCTTTGAATAGCTTTTGGATATAGAATAGCTTATCAAATACATTTATCTCATCTTCTTTTATATTCTTTTGGCAAAAAGAATCACCCTCTCTCCTTCTTGCTTCGAGAGCCCGCTGCATTTATTTTCCCAGAATAACACACACATCCTCTGCACCTCCACATTATAACGCGCCGCCGCCGCCGATCCAATATTCATTTTCAGTGGCGCAGCTATTATTCGCCAAATAAAACAGCGCTATTCTACATCCACCCCATCCCTCTTTTCTAAAGGGCTTTTTAGCGGACGCGCGCGCGTGTTGCACCAAAAAATCCCATTGCCTTTTAGAATTACACTGGATCTTTAGAAAATATATTGTAGCTTTGAAAAATGCCATCAAAAAATCAATCTGTGTTAAGCAAAAAACAAACAAAATACAGCTATAAAAAAGCTAATACAAATTATACTTTTTTTTATAATTGGCCTAAGAAATGTTTCTGATAAATTTTTAACAATTAAGCCGAAACAAACAAAACAAAAATTTGTTTATTTTAGTGTTATTACATAGTTATATTTGCATGTGTTTCTCAATATTGCAATATTGCATGAATGA